TTAAGGGGGCTGCAGACGATGCAAAAAATCACGTAAAACAGGTCATAAGCTAGACAAAACTGTGGGACTTGGGTTTGACGGATTTTAATTTTGAAAACAAATTAAAAATCTTGAACATCTTTACTAAAACTTGATCGAAGGAATTTTTTTTATTACAAAAATTAACGGCGTACTTAAATACATAAAATACATAAATTTCTGTTTTTTTAAATTGTCAATATCTTATTATTCGATTACAATATAGAAAATTCCTTTGGTCAATCCCTAGCTAACATAGTGACTTAATTAAATCTGTTTTCAAAATTTAAATTCATCAATCCCAAGTCTCACAATTTTGTCTAGATTTTTGGCGTTTTTAACATTTTATTAGCGTGGTGTAAATTGATCATATTATCTTGTTCTTGACATACGCCTGCGCGTGCGTAAATATATAATTACTCATTCAAAGAAACTATTATGGCAACATTCGATTCTTAGAAATGTTTGATAAGAATATAATATTATTATGCTGCGGGCGCTGAGAGAACGGAGTTGGCGCCTAATAAAACACGTATATTTACGTATATATAACTATATTTGCAAAACATAAATAAATATACAAATATACGTCAGCAATAGTCCGCGCATTTTCTTAGTGATAGTAGTTGTCATTTCACATTGATTTTCTAAGCAACACGTGCAGTTATGTCTTTTGAATCAGTGGTTTTGAAATAAATTTGTTATATATAATTTTTGTATTGTTATCCGTTTGGATAATATGGATAGTAAAAAAGATTGGCGTTATGGAAAAAATACCAAACTCTTATTATGTAAAAGGAAAATAAAAAAAGGAAATATTGATGCACTTAGAGGGTTAAAAAAAAAAGTAAGTACATGGATTTAAAATTATTTAAATATATTAAATTTTCAAGTGTTTTCGCCGAGTGAAAAATTTATAATATAATATTTGATAAAAATTTACAACATTAAAATTAACATATTGTTTAATAATAAAGGTTATACTTTATTTTCAAGATACAAAATATACTAGATACTAGTGATACTACACCAATTAATTTAATAGATAATTCACTGAACATGCCTAACATATCTACTGCCGAAAATAATGAAACAGTTAATTCCTGGAAAAGTTTAGAAGGAAGGAGAATAATTGATGTGAAATATGTTTTTGAAAGTATTCAATCAATAAAACATTTAAGATTTGATTGCACATTTCGTGACTTAAAATTTTCAAAAGAAACAAGGAGTGGATTTTTTAGTTCGTTTTATTTTGATTGCAAAATGTGTGGTGCACAAGAAATTGTAAAAAGTGAAAATCCCAATGGCCAAATTGTTAATGTAAATATGGCCATGGTTTCTTCTATAGTAAATACAGGACAAGGATACTCACAACTCGAAGAGTTTTCGGCTACAATGAATATGCCTAATATGTCTAACAAATTATATCAAGATTATCATAATAATATTTTTAAACACCTTAATGATTTGGCATGGAAAGAAATGCTCATTGCTGGACAGGAAGAAGCTAGATTAGCGATAGAAAAAGGTGAAGTTGACCACTTAGGACGACCTAAAATTGCAGTAGTTGCTGATGGCGCTTGGAGTAAGCGATCTTATAAAACTAAATATAACGCACTATCCGGAGTTGTAAGTAAAAAATAAACTACATATTATTATAAAAACATAATACCTAGGTATATAAATTCGAATCGTATAAAACATGTATATATAATAATAATTATAATATTATATAATATAGGTAATATACAAATTATGTATATTGTATATAATATATGAATACATATTTATATTAAATTATGTGATATTTTTTAACAAAATATATTTATAGGCTTGTATTATTGGTGCAAAAACAAAAAAAGTTATATTTTGTGGAGTCAGAAATAAATATTGTTGTATATGTCAGTTAGCTGAAAATCGTAATGAAAAACCACAGGAACATGTATGTTTTAAAAATTGGAATTCAGCCTCAACCGCGATGGAAGCCGATATTATTGCTGAAGGGTTCAAACAAAGTCTGCATATGCATAATGTTGTATATTCTCAGTTAATAGGTAAGTGACTTTATTATTTTTTTTTAGTATACCTACATATTTTATATAATTCTTAAAACATAATAGTATAAAATATAAATTATTATTGTTATTATGAATTATTGAATTTATTATAAAAAGGAGATGGTGACAGCAGTATTATGAAGCGTTTAAGATTGGAAAAGCCATATGGAACAAATGTTATTATAAAAAAAGTAGAATGTACTAATCATTTACTACGTAACTACATAAATCGTCTTAGAGATATAAGTGGGAAAAGAAAAAATGATAAAGGAAACGTCATACCGGGTTGTTATCGGAAAGTGGTTCATGATCGTTTACTAAGGCTTCGGTATGCTGTCACTGAAGCGATTAAATACAGAAGACTTGAACAAACAGACCACACATATGAAACAGCATTGGATTTACTGAAAGCAGATATAACAAACGGGCCTAATCATGTATTCGGAGACCACTCTAAATGCCAATCGTATTTTTGTGAAGGTCAAAAAAAAAGGTATGTAACTTTTATTTGAGTACTGTATGTCTGTATGACATTTATGATAATATATAGAAATAGAATAAAAAAACCAAAACATTTTTAAATTTCAATTGTTTATAAAAAACTCATAATACATAAATTTCAAGTTACTAGTTTTTGAATAACAACAAAACAATAAAAACGTAGTATGAGAATTTGTTAATTTTACTCTACCACAAAATGTTTGAAAATGTATTATTATTATTACATTTGTATTATATATTATGTTTTAGGAGAAGAAAACATTGTACCTGATTTAAAAAACTATGGTGTTTGGGATGATATTTGCAGAGCCCGAAATCTTCTAACCTATCATACCGAAAGTTTAATGTATGGTTATAATAATAATTCAGCTGAACTTTATAATTCAATTTTAACTAAATTTGTCGGAGGGAAACGAGTAAATTTTTCATTGAAAGGGTCTTATCAACTAAGGTGTAACGCAGCAGTCACTGCTTATAATTCAGGACCAAACCGTCTTTCTTTGTTTAACAAACATTTAACAAATAAAAGCCCAGGGAGATTTATAAAAATGTATATTAAAAGGCAAGTAGTAACTGTTGAAACTCGAAGACGACGGCGGTATCTTTTTAGTGGACCAAAAAATAGAACAAAGAGTACAACAATAGGAGGACCAGACGAAAATTATGGTAATGTATCTCATGACCCATTTTCTGAACTTACTGCTGTTGAAATTCAACAGTTAAAAATGAAGTTCATGGAAAATTTAAAATTAACTGAGAAACAAATCCAAGATTTAGAAATGAAGACTAAAAGACAACATCAATGTGATGAATGGCATTTGGAGAGAAAAAAAAAAGGTAGATATTTCATATTTTATTAACAAAATAATAAGTTTATATGAGATTTAAATGTTTTAAAATATATATATTTTTATTTTTTAGACTCACTGCTTCAGTGTTTGGTAAATTATGTAAAATGCGTCAAACCACTTCTCGTGATAAAGTAATAAAAGAAATGTTGTATGGGACTTTTAGTGGCAATGCTGCTACACGTTATGGAATTGCACACGAAGATATGGCTAAAGAAGAGTTGGAGAAAATTATTGGAAAAAAAATTGAAAATGCTGGTTTATTTGTAGATACAAATTTACAATTTTTAGCGGCCTCTCCCGATGGATTAATAGACAATGATAGTCTTGTCGAAATTAAATGTCCAGCGTCTGCAAAAAAGTTTTACTCCAGAAGAAGGAATTTTAATGAATAAAATAAAAAGTTGCACAATTGAAAACGGTCAACTACATTTGAAAAGAAATGATAGTTACTTTTATCAAGTCCAGGGTCAACTGCACATAACACGCAAAATGTTTTGTTATTTTTTGTATCTGGACACCTAAAGGTAATATATAGTTTTGAACTAATAGGATTGTAATTGAAATGTATAATTAATAAGTTATTTGTATACAGGTTTGATGTATGAAAAAATTGAAAGAGACGATGATTTCTGGGATAAAAATATGAAGTCTCAACTAACGACGTTTTTTACGGATCACTTTTTATCTGAAGTTTTAAAAGACAGTCTTTTATCGAATTAATAAATATAATATTTACGAGAATTGAAAGTTACATTTATTCATACCCATTTTAAAAAATGTTTTTATTGTTAATTTATAATTAATTAATTTAAATTAAAAATAATCAAATAATTA